TCGATGTTGTAAAAAATATCAAGCAATATTAAACACTGAAATCGTCAAGACTACTTTAAGTACAATTTAACAAATGCGATGGACTTAAAAACATAGCGGATTGTGTTTTATATGGACCTTAATCTTTCTAAAAAAAGATTCAATGTTGAATTTCAATATTACCTTCTAAAAAAAGTTTGTGATAAACTACTACTTAGATGGTATATGGGTCAAAATCTATCTTTAAAATATTTAAACCAAGATAGTATTAGGGGAAGAGTTCCCAAGTCGTCGTTTATCGAAACGGCCCAAGAAGCGGCAAAGTCTGTGGTCGAAGAGTCAACAAAGGATGAAGTCGAGGAGTCAACAAGGGTCGAGGCCGAGGTCGAGTGCCTTTGATGGATTTATTACGGCTAGCTTCAAGATATGATATGACAGAGAATATTCTACTGGATATTTTATGCACTTGGACTATTAGGGGTTTTTAGGAACATGTTCTCTATAAATAAAAAAAGACACTATGATGGGGGGGGGGGGGGGGGGGAGGGGGATGATATTCATTTGTAAAAAAACACACTTTGATTAGAAGAAGGAATCGGATCTAATTTCTAGTATACAAACATCACCTTTTCACTGAGATTCTTGTCTACACTTTTCCACCAACGAGAATAACTCAAAGATTCAAGGGATTGCCTCATCTTATTTACTTAAATTTCATTTATTGCTATTCATTATTATTAAATGATACCTTATTACTTCTGTTTTTGGAATATTTATTACATGTCACTTTCACTGTCCGACCATACTCACGTAGTATTTGTTGCTTCTTTAAGAACCCCATCTAGGGATATTATTGTTAGCTAAGATTAACCCTTATTTACATAAATTTAATTATTTGAACCAAGATATATATTTTTTGGTCAAACAATTTGGCGCCGTCTGTGGGAACTTCTTAGTTAAAATTTTAGTTTTCTCTAGATCTACAATTAGCGCAGGTCACTAACGTCAAAAAACTCGAGATCTCCTTTCTTTGTGTATACAAAACCCTACATGGTAGGTAACCAAGGAGAAAGGACGAGAATACAAAGTGACTTCCCAACCAACCTCATGAATGTCATCAACGAAAGCTGTGAAACAGTAGGTGAGGACATGACGCTCAGTGCGTCCCCTAGGCGAGAAAGGTCACCGCTTCCATATTGCAGCATGACAAAACACAGCAGTAAAGGGGCCTCCACGTCTACAGAGGAAGGGACGCCCCCAGCTGTGAAAAAACTACTCAAGGCATGGATAACCGACACGCTAGCAAGCGTCCTCAACAGACCCGCTCCAGGCACGACTGCAGAAAACTCAAGGACTTGCACGATACAACAAACAAACGAGCAGTGCAACCGACCCCTCCCTCCAACGACAGGTATAACTCACAATGTTATTGATAGTGCAAGTGACAACACCCTCGCTGCCATTATAAAAAGGATGGAAAAACTGGAGAATGAAAACAAGGCACTCCGAGACCAGATGAAAGAGCACCATGAATGAGTTGAAAAGATATTGGACGCCCCTAAGCTGCTGCCGAAGAGGGACGCCGGTAGGTCATAGAGCAGCCGTACAGCGATGATGCACCCCCTTATGCCATACCAAACCTTCAAAATGCTGCCCTACCTCAGGATATATGACAAAATAACCGATCCTGAAGATCATGTGACTTACTACGTCACCATCGTGAAAGGCAACGACCTAGCCAAGGAACAAGTGTCCTCCATTTTGCTGAAAAAGTTTGGTGAAACCCTTACCGGAGGGGCATTAACATGGTATTCGCAGCTTCCATCCCGCTCATAGAAACTTTCGAATAAATGGCCGAAAATTTCGTAACCGCCCATGCCGGACCCAAGAAGGCCGAGGCGAGAGTAAACGATATATTTGCTATTAGATAGTCCTTGGGAGAGGGGCTAAGGGACTTCTTCGCCCGGTTCAACCGAGTAAGGATGACTCGTAGACAACACATTTCTAACAAATCGCCCGGGAAAATCGAAACATTTGAAATGTGCGGCCCATGTAGGTCCACGCTGCCAGTTCGTTGCAACCACCACGACCAGAATTGCTCGGTCGATTATGTCGACCGTAAAGAACAAGATCCGCTCATCGAACCCTCCTGAAGCCGACCTCAGTAAGCGGAGGGACTAACTGTATGGGTCAAAATCTATCTTTAAAATATTTAAACCAAGATTGTACTAGGGGAAGAGTTCTCAAGTCGTTGTTTGTCGAAACGACCCAAGAAGCGACGAAGTTTGTGGTCGAAGAGTCAACAAAGGACGAAGTCGAGGAATCAAAAAGGGTCGAGGCCGAGGTCGAGTTCCTTTGATGGAGTTATGACAGCTAGCTTTAAGATATGATATGACAAAGAATATTCTAGTGGATATTCTCTGCACTTGTACTATTAGGGTTTTCTAGGAACATGTTCCCTATAAATAGAAAAAGACACTATGATGGGGAGACATGAGCATTGTCCTAGGTGATTTGGAACTCTCCGAGAGTCATTGTGACTTTGGGTATTGTCGGCGGATTAGAGTTGATGAAGTTGAGGGGGCTATCCGCAAGATGAGCAGTGGCAAAGCGACTGGGCCGAATAAAATCCCGGTGGAGTTTTGGAAGAGTGCGGGCGAGGCAGGCTGGAGTGGCTCACTAGGTTATCTAATGTCATTTTTAGAATGACGAAGATGAACGAAGAGTGGAGGTGGAGCATGATGGTTCATGTATGCAAGAACAAAGATGATATCCAAAATTGCAATAGCTATCGGGGTATCAAGCTGCTTAGCCATACTATGAAAGTCTAGAAGAGAGTGGTAGAGCTAAGGGTGAGGAGGAGTGTATCTATTTCTGAGAAACAGTTTGGGTTTATGCCGGGGCGTTCGACTACAGAAGCCATCCACCTTGTTAGGAGATTGATGGAGCAGTACAAAGAGAGAAAGAAGGACTTGCATGTGGTGTTCATCGACTTAGAAAAGACATATGATAAAGTTCCGATGGAGGTTTTGTGGAGTTGTTTGGAGGCTAGAGGTGTACCTGTTGCCTACGTTAGGTTGATTAAGGACATGTATGATGGAGTAAAGACCTGAGTGAGGACGGTGGGTGGGGACTCAGACTATTTTCCTGTTATGATGGGGTTGCGTCAGGGGTCGGCACTCAGCCCCTTTTTGTTTGCTCTGGTGATGGATTTACTGACGCGCCACATCCAAGGGGAGGTGCCGTGGTGTATGCTATTTGCAGATGATATTGTATTGATAAACGAGACGCGAGACAGTGTGAACGCACAATTAGAGATATGGAGGTTGACCGTGGAATCTAAAGGTTTGAAGTTGAGCAGGACCAAGAGAGAATACTTGGAGTGTAAGTTTAGTGGCGAGACTCAAGGAGGGGAAGGGGAGGTGAGGCTGGACTCGCAGGTCACCCTAGGAGAGGGAGTTTTAAGTACCTTGGGTCTATTATTCAAGGGGATAGGGAGATTGATGAATATGTCACACATCGCATTGGGGCGCGATGGATGAAATAGAGACTCGCTTCCGGTGTTTTGTATGACAAGAAGGTGCCACCGAAACTTAAGGATAAGTTCTACAGAGTGGTGGTCAGACCAACGATGTTGTATGGGGCTGAGTGTTGGCCAATCAAGATTGCTCATGTCCAGAAGATGAAGGTAACAAAGATGAGGATGTTGAGATGGATTTGCGGGCACACCAGGTTAGATAGAATCATAAATGAGATTATTCACGACAAGGTGGGTGTGGCTCTTATTGAGGACAAGATGCAGGAATCACGACTTAGGTGGTTTGGTCATGTGAGGAGGAGGATGAACATAGACGCCCCATTGAGTAGGTGTGAGAGGTTAACATTGGAGGTCCTACGGAGAGGTAGAGGTAGGCCAAAGAAGAGGTGGGGAGAGGGGATTAGGCAAGACATGGCGCAGTTTCAGCTGACCGAGGACATGTCTATATTTCCATTAATGTGGTGCTTATGCTTTCCTGAGCCAAGGATCTATTGAAAACAACCTCTCTATCCTCACAAGGTAGGGGTAAGGTGCCTCCCTAGACCCTGCGGTATGGGATATTACTGGGTATGTCATCTCATCTCTCAAACTATGATATGTGTGTGTGTGTGTGGGTGGGGGGGGGGTAGGGGGGGGTAGTAGTATTATTACTTAAGTTTA